AAGCTACAGTGGAGCTACAGTCGGAAAAGCTACGCGAATTAGTACTTTTTCTATAGCTAATGATGAGTATTGAAACCTCAGATTATATTTAGGTACAATCTATAATTTATTTAATTTTTTGGTAACTTTAAGAAATTATTTCTAATAAAATGCCATTAAAAATAAATAGCATTTTTTAAAATAAAATATAATATTTCTAACAACAATATAATGAATAAATTATGAAAACGACAAGCATTAGTGCTTCTCATCACGCGTTTCCGATAAAATAATTATATTCTTTAATAAAGAAATATGTTTTTTAATAACCATTTTCAACGCTTATTGTATTTTTTCTAAATTTTCATTTCGAAGTAATTCATAATTCAGCTTATTTGAACTTATTTATATTATTTATTTCAATTCATTTATTTTTAACTTAAGTACAGTCCGCAAAAAAAAAAAAAAATATGAATCAGCCTGAATATTTTTCGTTCCAGTAATCGGATTTTCACGAACTAAGTGTCAATCTTAATGGTTCCTGGGGGTGACCTCAAATATGCTAATTAATTAGTGCTAACTATTAATTAAGTTACGAAATCAGACACAAAAACGTACTTTCTCTTTAAGTGCTGTAACGACTCTTAACGATGAGAAATCTTACAAAAAAATCGTGGATAATAAAGATTGCGGCTACAATAATTCAAATAAATAGTGTAAGTAAGAAGATTCTAAATAATTTAACTTACTTTTGTTTATTTTTTAAGAAAAAAGAGAAAAAAATACAATCGATACTTGAAAGAAATATAAAATTTAAAAAAGAATATAATTCATTAAATGTCTTTAGATTTTGATAATATCTATCGAGATGATAGATCTTGCCCAAAAATAAAAATAGTTTAGAGATGAACTGGTAAAATAATGTGCAATATTTGGATATGAGGATAACGAAAAAAATTTAAAAATTTTTTAATCTATAAAATAAAGCTATTAATTATTATGCATAGTTATTATCCATGCAATTATCCTTGATGCAAGTTATTATCCAATAGGAAATTGCCTATAACTGCCGGTCAAGTAACCCCGCAGTTAAGAATCTGACGGTCAAAAAATAATGGTGGAATCGCTTTTGAACTTTCGGTCAAATCTTCCAAACCAGGGGTTTCGGAACTGGGAGTTACGCGTTAGGTCGTCAGAGTCAACGGCGAATACGGGGGTTAGACATTGGACTTCAGGGTGCAGAAGCTGATTGTTTCAGTTGGGTGGTCAGCCGTCTGTGGCTATAAAAAGTACTCACTATCAGAACTCCTGTAAATCTTTACGGAATATTAGGGTTCCGTGGAACACTATTTGGGAACCTCTGTCTTAGACCTTGGACACTAGGGAGCTGAAGCTGAGTGTTTCAGTTTGGTGATTAGTCGTCTGTGGCTGTAAAAAGTACTCACTAGCGGAATTCCTGCAATTCTTTACGAAACCCTAGGGCTCCGTGGATCACCGTTTGAAATCTACTGCCCTAGGTAATGCTAAAAATTTTTTTTAGTTTTAATGCCCTTTTATTGTTATTATATTTGTATAAAAATACAATTTTATGAAAAATATTTTTCTGTTATAAAATTGATCTTTATATTAAAAATATTAATACAAATCAATAATTAATAATAAGGATATTAGTAAAAACTTAAACGGTAAATTCACAAATAATAACATAAAAAACTCAAAATGCATGACGCGAAATAAATTAATAAATAATTTAAATTACGTTTTCAATTTGATAAAAAAAAACTTTTTAATAATCAAAATAAGCTTAATTAAAAATAATAGACTCAAAATCCGAACAACCAATTCTTTTCGATCGATGTATATTAGCCTATTATCGATCTATATTAGACTATGATCAATCTATATTAGCCGGGGCACCCATTTCTCGAAGGCTGGTGGGGAAATTCCGTACCTCCACTACTCAAATAAATTTTCGCTTTAAGAAGACAACAAAAATGCATTGATAAAAACATATACCGACACATTTCTTTTTATTAAAATAAATTTTTTTTACTAATTAACGAAGCTATGAAAATTTAATATTTCATCGTTTGTCAATTTGAACTTTATTTTCAAATGACAAACTACAGTGCAGAAAAACAACTACATGGAGTGGTATGAATGATATCCTCCATAAAGAGATTTTATAAATTGCCTCATCCCACCCCTTAAAAAAATTTTAAAAAATATATATTTTCTGTATAACATAATTGCTGGTGTTTATTTTATATTTATGGTGGTGTTACTTATATTTATAATTGAAAACATTAAGATGTGAATTGAGTATTCAATTATTTTTTTTCCTTTTAAAAGTCCTCTTTTTCTACAAATGACTTAGGTTACTTGCCCATCTTTTTAATCCCCATCACTCTGTAAGTACCCATTAACGTTGGAGGATAAGATAATACTGAAAAGAATCGATTTGTGTCACAAAACAGTTCTTTCAATGTTAAAAGATATAAAATCGCTCAAATGAGTCGAACAACCAGCACAAAGAATCATTTAAATACTGTAATGTTAAAGTATAAAAAAATCGACACAAAAATCAACTCTTTGAGCCAATATTAATGCTAAGAGATAGGATACAGTTCGAAAGAATCGATTCATTTGGCTTAATGGTTCATTTTATGCTAAGAGAAGCAAACAGTTCATTGAATCATTAATGCGATTCTCAACTTTTTTTTCCCTATTTCAGTTTGTTTTCATCCAATCAGAGGTTCGCATTTATATTTCAATTAATTATCCAATCAGCGCAACAATTTCATTTTCTGTAGATTTCGCTTCTTGGTTTTGAATAAACGATAACATGGAACTCCTGTAAAAATAACTTTGCTTTATTTTTACAGAAGTTTAAAATTTGATAACAGATTCCAGTGGAGAAAAATTTGCTCTTTAATACTAAAGTACTAAAAAGTAATACCTGTGCTTTACAGCTTTAATTTCTTTTTATTAAAATGGAGGAACCGAAACTGTCGAAGAAAGCTTTTCAGTTGTCGTTACCATCTTTAAAATACATAACTGCAGATCAATAGAGTTAATTTTGTAAATGGAAAAAAAAAAGGGTAATGCAATAGTAATTGTACTTTCCGTAATACAAAGTTATTGTTTCGTCTCGGCCTATTAATTCAATATTTTACTTTTGATAAAATAATGTTTAAAGATATAATTTTCAATGATTAAAACTCAATTAAATTGTAAATTATCCCCAAGATAAATGATTAATTTAATAGTTCTTTTTCGATAATTGTTTATCAGCCAAACCTTTTATTTATTGACAACTAATGGTTAGCTTAATGGAAAAAATTGCTGTAATAATTATTTTACAATCTGGGACTAAGTTGCAAAACTGATTATAACTGCGTAGCACTATGTTTTCGCTGTCACGCTTAAGGCTTCGCTGGCACGCTTAATTATTTGGTTTACTGAAACCCGCAAACGCAAATCAAATGTTTTAAGATTTGTCTAGGGGGAAAAACCGATTATTAATTTTATATTAGTATTAGTTTTGTTAGATAAAGTGTAGTTCGTTCACCAGGAGTTGACATTTGTTGCTCCATCATCTACTCGGACGAAGAGTTCATTTCAGAGCGGGAGTAAGAGGGAAAAACATCTCCGCGCTTAAAATTGAGACAACCGTTTATGCACTCCAAACACTAACAGTGAATTCTTTTTAAGTCACTTACTTCGTTTTATCACCTGCTATTATACCTTTCGTTACTCTATCTAATTAAATTTATTTTAAATTCAGAAACGTCTATGTGCCCAGCAAAATGTTTTAAAAAAGGGCAAACTATTCACTCAAAAGAGAGAAATATCATCAGATTTATGAAATATTTAATGTTAAAAAAATGTACATAAAGATCGCGAAATAAATATTTTTGTCATACCATCGCCAAAATAACAACTTTTTTCAGGATTGTTCACATCCTTCTCTCAAAAATAGCGAAATAGTATCGTCGCTAGGACTGGGCGATACATCGATTCTTCGGAAAACATCGACGTTGTGAGATCATCGCCGATCCGATGTTAAGGTTGGCGTCTTTCACGAAGCATCGGAAAATCCGATGTTCGCGCGATGTTTCCCGATGACGCGAAGACCGATCCTTCAGATTCAACATCGAAGCACGCGCGAAGAGCATTTCCCCGAATTATCAAGTAACGATGTGCTCACACGATGATTTCCGATGTGACTCGACGATCTTTTCCTCTGTGTTTCTTCCTTCGCGAATTATCAAGTAACGATATGCTCACACGATGATTTCCGATGTGACTAGGAGTGAAACTAACTCATCGCCAATGAAAGATGAAAAAGTGCTTTCTTCATTTCGTGCAAATCCAAGAAAAGAATGTGATTCTCGGAGGATTATTTATGTTTTGTTATTTGACAATACTTTAAGATCATTTTCGTCTTGTTGAAGAAACGATCGTCTGTTTCGATAAGACTTTTTATTTATTTACTTTTTTACCTATTTATTTTTCTTTGTTAAATCTGAAGAATTGCATTCCTTCAATATGGATAAAATGTTTTCATCAATAATTTTATATAAAGCTGCAATTTTGCATAATAACCACGTTTTCAATGATTAAAAAATGATTATTATTATTATTAAAAAATATTTTTAAAAAAATCTAATATTTTTGCAAAAAATTTTTGCTAAAATTGCGGCGAAAAATTGACTTTTGCAAACGAGGTTTTGCTGAAGATTCAGCATCAGCTAAGATTCAGCATCACGATGCTGAAATCTTAGCATCGCCCAGTCCTAATCGTCGCGTACCACGTGATGAAGGCAGAGCCAAATGCCAACTCCTGGTGAACGAACTATCAAGACAAAAATGCTGTATAGAGAGGCGAAATATGTACCGAGGGGCTTCACAGAAGGTAAAGCTTGACTAGCCCTACCCCTGTAAACGGTACACGAAATATCAGTATTCAAGAACATTGTCACTTTTTAAAGAAATATTACAAAAAAGTTCATATTTACCTTGTCCAAAAAATAGTAGCAATATCTAAACTGCTGCAAATAAAACTGTTCGCAAATATAATCATCTCTGTCAATAGCTAGTGAAGATCTTCGTGCCAATAAACATTTCTCTATAATAGATTTTGAGGCACTGTGCAGTAGAAACAACCTAGTTGAAATTAGTGAAACAGCATCAGACATTAAAGCTTCGATTTCTCTATTATAATCATCGGAGTGATTACCTTCGTCAAAAATTACACTGGACACTATGGAATGTAGATAAGAGATTGAATGCTGAATAAAGAGTGATCCATCATCTGACTCAGTGTCCCCAAAATGATCAAATAATCTATCTTCAACCATTTTGAAAGCTCCTTGGGTATCTAAAATCCTATCAGGATTTATCTCATTTGCATTTTTAAAAAAGCATTCAACATCACTTATAAAAGATTTTAAGTATTCTTTTGAACTCTGGCTCTTGGGATTTAAGAAATTAACCGTATCAATACTAAAAAGAAGTGAAATAAGCTGCTGACGTGTTTCATTAGAGCTATTTCTAAGCGCCTTTAAGATTGTATCAATTAGAATATATTCAGGCTTATCTTTATGAATGATTTCTTTTAGCTCGCAGATAATTGAATGAGCTTCTAACTCATCCTTGTTTAGGGAAATTTCTACGGGAGGGTGAAGAGAGATATAATCAGATTCTTGAGCGACTTCTTTAGCGTTTATGAGAATACCACAGAATTTTTGGGCTCTGTTGTTTTCCTTGATAACTTCTAAGACTTTCTGAAAGTTCTCCTTAAGTCTCACATGCGAAAAACATACCTATATAGAATAAATTTATAGTTAAGACCTGGTAATACTTGTCAATGAAAAGTTTAACGATATTTTTTTACCCTGAATTACCCGAGGAAGATTTATTGCATTAAAATGGCTGTAAAATTCAAACCAAAGTTACACCTTCAGAAAAAGTTAAGATTTGTATAACGTTATTTTAAGTCTATAAATGTTTATATTTCGTTATTATAGTAATTAAATTATGAATTACGAGCAAGAATTCTTTCTTTATGCGGCATTATATTTCATATATTATTGAAGAAAACACTATAACACTGAATAGAGCCTCCACACGGTTTCTTATAAGAAGTCTGCGCAGAGTACTTAAAAAGCCAACAACTTGTGCACATGAACCCAAATTCTATTTTAAAAATACTTGAAAGAAATTTTAGAAGGCGTTGATAGAGCAACTATAAGTTGAATTCCATTTTTTTTTCATACATCGAGATGGGCCGGGAATTACCCCCCCCCCTCACTTTTATGTGCTTTAGGTTAGGTTCATCTTGAGCAGATTCATTATCGTTTTTAGGTTTACCAGTACAACGATCCTAAATTACTTAACAGTAGAAATCTACTTACTCTGTTATTCCAAAAATGCCATTTAGGGACAATTTGCAGAATGGTCTGACGATACATCGTATATAACTTCAGATAAATTTTCCACACAACTTCTTCACTAAACCAAGTATACTCTAGTTTTCTAAATAGAAAAAAGATTTATTAGTAAGCAAACACTATGTAGAAATTACGAGACTTTATAGCCATACCTTATTCATTTGTAAAGTAAACTCTCGATCAACCAGATTATCCCGAATGATCTCAAAAAAAAGATTTTTTTATAAGTAAAATTGCCGCAACTGCAATTTACGCCTACTTTGAATTACATTATGACAAATTACACTTGATGAATTGGTGCAGAAACAATTTAACTAATAATCTTTAAATGCATTTTAGACAAAGTATTTTTTATCCGTTCCAATTAATCAAGAGTAACGTGTTTATAAAAGTGTAGGGAAGGCAGGGTTAGCCTGGATGGTAGGGCACTGGACCTATGTCCAAGAGTTCGTGTGTTCGAATCCTGTCGGCCGAAGACTCCCCGTGTAGTAAATGGTGACTGATGTACGTTAAATCTGTCGAATCACAAAGTCCTCCATGCTTCCAAAACAAATTAAACCTCTGGGGGTACTGATCCAGGAGTTTCCTTGTCTTCTGGATTGGTTCAAAATTACAAAGGCTACGGAGTTGAACATTAGTAGNATCCTAAATTACTTAACAGTAGAAATCTACTTACTCTGTTGTTCCAAAAATGCCATTTAGGGAGAATTTGCAGAATGGCCTGACGATACATCGTATATAACTTCAGATAAATTTTCCACACAACTTCTTCACTAAACCAAGTATACACTAGTTTTCTAAATAGAAAAAAAGATTTATTAGTAAGCAAACACTATGTAGAAATTACGAGACTTTATAGCCATACCTTATTAATTTGTAAAGTAAACTCTCGATCAACCAGATTATCCCGAATGATCTCAGAAAAAGTTGTTTATAAATAAAATTGCGGCAACTACAATTTACGCCTACCTTGAATTACATTATGACAAATTATACGTGACGAATTGGCGCAGAAACAATTTAACTAACAATCTTTAAATGCATTTTAGACAAAGTATTTTTATCCGTTCCAATTAATCAAGAGAATTGTGTTAATAAAAGTGTAGGAAAGGCAGGGTTAGTCTGGTTGGTAGGGCACTGGACCTATGTCCAAGAGTTCATGAGTTCAAACTCTGCCAGCCAAAGTATTCCCCGTGTAGTAAATGGTGACTGATGTACGTTAAATCTGTCGAGTCACAAAGTCTTCCATGTTCCCAAAACAAATTATATCTCTGGGGGTACTGATCCGGGAGTTTCCTTGTCTTCTGGATTGGTTCAAAATTACAAAGGCTACGCAGTTGAACATTAGTAGTCGTAAACCCAAAATTGAGTCGGCTATTCAACATAATTAAATCTAACGTTATCATTAAAAAGCATTATTAAATCTTAAATTTTGTTAATTATTATATCTTATTTAAATTTCTTTGTGTAAAAATATATATTATTTAAAGCTCTTGAAAAAAGTACATTTTTGCTAAATTAAATTTTATGCAATTAACAATTAATTATCGTTTAAAAGTTAATTTACTAAAGTTTATTTGAATAAAATATCATTTTAGAACCAGATTCGGAGCATGTTAAGAAAAATTAAATTAGCAATCATAAATCATTTTAAGAATCAATACAAAATCATCAATGCTACAATTAAAATATACCCCGAGTTGATTTTCAACACTACTTCTTTATATGACTTTCGTTACATTAATCATTTACTTAAGTAAAATCAGTAGATAAATTATTAAGATACACAGGATTATACAAAAGATATATAAGGCAAAAATAATTTAATAATACCGGGAGTAGAGAGAATTAAAAAAAAAAGTGCACGTGGGGAAAAAAATGTGCACGTGGAGGAAAACAAACTAATTAACTATCACGTTTTCCATTGCTTGTTAGATTTAATTTAGAAAAGCATTATCATTCATTAAAATTTTGAATTACCTAGGCAATTATTAAGGAACAATTTAAAAAAATAAATTAAAGCAATTTACATTTTGGCGGCCCCTGATATCGCCGGTGGATCCACCGCTCACAACCAAGTTCACGTACAGCTCTCGCTTCCGACTGCTAGGAAAAAGAGGGGGGGAGAGAGACAAACATCTAAAGACAGCGAAGACCACTAATGTAGAAACGGCGCAGGTTTGCCTCAGGGCTTCTTGCAGTGGAAGATGACTAAAATTATAAACCAAACCAGTTTTTATAGCGCATGCGCATTGGTGCGATTGTTCCCTCCCCTGCATCACTCCTTCCCCGTAGTACTCATTGATATCTTGTGAGATTGTTTGAAAGTTGTTTTCTCCATTTCTGCTGCTGAACGCAAGGCCGGATTAACCATTAAGCACACTAAGCACGTGCTTAGGGCACCAGAGGATAGGGGAGCACCACAAAGCCTAACTAAATGTTCGCAGTACATATTTTTTTTTGTTTTGAAACATTGATTATCATTTATTATTTTGAGCTTCCATTTTAAGAGTAGATAGCATCCATTTCTAAGTACGAAATTTCACATAATAAAAGAAAAAAAAACGAAAGATGTTTTGTATCAAAAATTTTCGGTCTTATAATGAAATTAGGTAGTGAATTTCTATGCGATAAAAGCTCTATTTATTTATCCATTACAATAATTCCATAACATGCTGCTACGATTCATGTTTACAGAATATTTTTCACAGTTGTAGCAAGTTAATACTCCGGCAATTTGATATTTTTATGAAAAAAAATTGATTTACAAAATTTTGATGCAATGGTTTGATGATGTAAAAAATCTATGTTGTGCATGTTTGCAGTTTTTGTTTATACTACATAAAATATTTGCTTATACTATATTTTTAATTATATTCTCATTGCAACTGGAAAAGAAGTCATCAAATTGCGTAAAGGTTGAGTTGCAAAAATTTATTTCAAAACTTTACGTCGAATAATTTTTTTTTATTCACTAAATTAAGAAAAAGGAGCTGTGTTTAAGTATCATTTTTCGAAATTTCTTTGTGGAGGAGAGGTTAAATTTGCGAAAAATATGACGACACACTTCGCATCACTTATGATTTTTTTGATCTATATATATCGAAATTAGATTTTAAGATTTGAAATAAATACTACGTTATATGAATGCAAGCAGCTAGTTTTTGAATAAGGAAAGAATTATAGGTTCCTTAGTCCTTAGAGTCTTGTATAAATACAAATGTTATTAAAGTTGAGCACAAAAGATGTGTAAATTCTCAATGTGAACCGGATGTTCGTTGACGGTGAAAAATACGTTAAGAAGATTACCCATTAAAACTAATTTAATTTTGAAAGCAAATGTAAGAAATAAGTAGAAATAAAATCAAATTTTCAGTCATTGAATTTTGTTTAGTGCAAGTAAACTATATTTTGTGCATCTTATTTGTAAAAATTATAATTAGGAAATTTCGAAAAGTACTGAAAATTTCAAATTAAAAATAAATAGCAAATTTAAGAAAGATATTTTTATTAATTGAATTTTAAAATATGTTTAAAAACTAATAAGTAAAATCCTTAATGATAATGATTATAAATATATACAATATGTGTGAGTAATTTCATCAACTTTTATTATGATGATAATTTGAACATGTCAATATTTTAAATATAATATTATTTCTGTCACTAAAAAAAAATTTAATAGTTGTGCTTAATTTTTACTTGTAGCTCGTGTGTAAATCAGATTGAAATAAATAATTAGTTAAGGTATTTCCATTATCCATTTAACTTTTTCTTAAAATAAAAATTGGTCATTCTGCATAAACGAGTGGGAAAAATATTGTTGTTCTCTGTTATTTTATTATAAGTAACAGACTTCTGGGAAACGTGGTTCAATTTAACCTGATCTTGCTTTCTGCCTATAACAAACGATCCCGGCGTAAAACAACAAAAGCTGTATATTGCCAGCATTCGATTCCATGAATTCGAAGGTTCCTGAAAAGGACCACCGTGATTGTCACCAACATATGTGTTATAATACAAAATTAAATTTTCTGAGAAGAAACACTTTAAGGACAAGAAGTGTAACCAATTGATTTACTACAGACAGAGAACATCCTTTCATCTCAGTAAGCATCCTATAGGGGACTCATTTCCCCTTCTTTTATTTTCTCAAAAGAAAAAAGGGTGCATATCTCAGAAAATTCAAATTGTCTTCCTTTCGAGGGGGGGGGGTAGAGATACAAATAAATGGTGACTTATAAGATTGAAGAAAGTGGCAGGTCTAGGAAAAGAAAAGTTTCTTGATTGACATAATTTTTAACCAATAATATTATTTATGCTACAATCAGTAACTAATTTCTCGTATTTACACACCCCCGTGTATACGTGAATGCACAGAACGTGAGTGCACTGAATACTACATGAATGCACAGAAAAAGCTTATTCTACTAAAACATTATTCTAAATTATTGCTTTTCAAAGCTGCTGTAATAGTGTAAAGCTGATGTTGCTTCAGGTAGTAGCTAAACCCTTCAAATAATTTTATCAATAATTATTATTTATCGATCAATATTAATTGTGTCTAAATCAATATAAGTGAAGAGTTTAATTTTCCTAAAGAATTATTATATTTCAATAATAAAAAATTAATTAAACTTAAATGTAAAAATAAAATTACAGTTATTAAAAATTATATAATTTTTTTTTTACATTTTAAGCATTCTATTACATAATAATACTCAAAAGTAATAAAAACAACTGTTTTTGTTAAAAATACAATGTGACGTATTCTTTAAGAGGGGATGATGCCGTATTATAAGTTTTAAGAAGTAATTAAATTTTTTAAATGAATGATCTTATCGAAATAAATTTCATTCTATGACGTTATAATTAAAATAGTTATTCGATTTAAAATAAACATTTTAGGTAACAATACACAAATTTTACTTCGATTTATTTTACGAATTTGTCTTCAAATGTTGTAAAGAATATGTAAAATATTTAGTACATAAAATTTTAGTAGGCAAAATAGATTTTAGTAGGTTTAAGATAAATGTTGGTTTAATAAAATTACATACAATACTTCTGTTTATGTTTCTAAGGATTATATTTTTCCAAACCTAAAATTATTTTCTATAAAACTAATGTGGTATTATGTACGCGTATGCATACAGGAATAAAAAATATCGTAACACAAAAAAAGTGAATAAATTGAAAATGATGGTTTGTTATTTTCCACTGATTATTATTTAAGTTTAGTTTTCATATTATATTCATTGTTGCTATACTTATGCTTTTGTTTTGTATTATAAAAACACGATTGTTCCGAATTTGTAAATGAAAATCTGATCATTGAATTTATAGTTATTTAAAGTATTTTGTTTATACATTTATTTACTTATTGAGGACAGAGTTTTTATTTACTGTAACAGCTTTTTCAGACCAAAGTTACTGCTATCATTTAGGAGAGTTTTAAGTACAGGTTTAATGCAGTAGTTTTAAGTAATTTCTATCATTTTTTCTAAAAGGTCATTTTTTTACTAGTCAAATTAAGATTTAAATGATAGTTATTTATTGCTCTTAAGCTCTTCTGTACCTTTGACTTTGACAGGTCAACTAACTACGAGATTGTCCAAAACATTAAACAAAATAGTAATAATTCTATTAGATAATTAGTTCTATTTTCCACAGATGCAATCTAGAGTGAGTTGTTATTATGAAATAAGTTCATTTCTGATTTCTAATCCAGATTTTATGGGATCATTTAAGATAATTGTTGCATTTATAAAATTACTCATCACTATTTTTTCCCTTCATTTCTCTTCCTATCATTATTAGTATATTAGGTTTAATAAGGAAAAAGGAATAATGAAAAGCATTATTATTTGTAAAAGTTATGTGTTATTATATACAGTGCGTAAAATAAAAAAGGTTAAAAACCTGAATAACTCTTGATTTAATGATCGGATTTTATTTTACTAGATCTCAATCTAAATGGTTTGAGGGCCAAACTTAAAATATGCTAATAAGTTGGTGCAGCAGACATTTTTTTTAAGTTATGAAATCGGGCAAACGTGCTTCCTCTACCTACATATGTATATGTTGTTGTTGTTGAATTTGGATATTTGTCTCTCAAAATATGGATGGTATTTACAATATGGAAATTAAGATCCCAAAAGTTTTTTTAGGTTGAAAGTTTGGATCCTTTATTTAATTGCAGTTTTCATGCGTTTCGCCATGTCTCGAGAACTTTTGAAACAAATTGAAAAATTTTTGCACTTAATAATAAAATTCATTAACCTAAAAATAATTCCCTGTCAAAAATATTTTTTTAAAAATTATTTATTATTAATAGTCGGAACAATTTTGAATTCAAAAATATAAAAATTATTACATAATTTTAAAGAATATTAATTTAAATAGTAAAATACAAGATTTGAACAAAATCTGTCGAAAAGTTCTTGAGATATTAAATGTTAAATATATAACTTTTTTAAAACTGAAAGATTCAGGTTTATTTGATTGATTTAGTAAAGATTAAATTTTGTATTTTGTCATTTAAAATGACATTTGTTAAATTTTCAATTTAAAGTTCTTTCGACTATTCTCTTAATAAATAAAATAATATAAAATGATTAATACTTCTTACAAATTATTTTTGACAAGGAACTATTTTTAGATAAATGAATTTTATTATTGTGTGCTAAAATTTTTTAGTTCGTTTGAAAAATTCTCGAGATATGGTCATTTATTTCGAGAGTCAAGAATTCGAATCAATTGGAAAAAAAAAGGTATGCCTTTTTTAGAAAAAGTACGTGTCTGTTTTTCTAATTTAAAGTATTTTGAGTCTTAGTTCAAACTTTCGATCATAAGTTATTCAAAGTGTTTGCCTTTTTGCACATACCCACAAACATAAGTTATTTTTTTAATATTAATTGAAAAATTTTCAATTGATTATATGCATTATTTAAAAAAAATTTTTTTTGGATTTAATTTGAATAAATATTTCTTTTTACAAAAAAAATTTGATTTTATATTTTGAATTAACACGTGACTTAGTACTAGATATATTTTTTATTGTTAGAGGGGGGAGGGCACCAAAATATTTTCAGTGCTTAGGGCCTCAAGAGGTCTTAATCCGGCCCTGGCTGAACGTATAGCTGTGAATTTTGGCAGGTGGAAATTTTACATATATTAGACTTCATTATTATTTAA